TAAGCAGTAGTCAGTTGCCAAAGTGTGTGCACGTGATCCGGTTGAGACAGCTGCGTGAGTGTAAACGGCCCCTCGGAATGGCATTTCATCGGATTTGTCTGTACCATGATCAGGTACTACAGCCTGTGCCATCATAAAAGTAAATTCTGCAAATCTTTGGCTTTGTTTTTCTACTTCTTTTGTAACAAAGTCCTAGTTATACCAAAGTGCGTGTTACTTGTTTGGTCCCTGCAACTTTTTGTAATGAGAGTTACTGTGTAAGCATGATATTGGCATATACATGTATACTCCGTAGAGATTTTGGCCAGGAGTTTTCCTAAATCTCTCTGGGATCTTCCATTATGGAGGCAACTGTTGGTATACATGTACGTCTTTTCATGTTGTACAAGAATGCACCGACATACATGTACTTGTAAAGAATACCAATGTCAAATTTCTGCTGGATTTCTGAGGATCATTGAAAGAGGGAATAATGTATGAATCCCTACAGACTGTAACGTTCACCAGTGATTCATGGATGATTGCATGTAAATAGACTCGTCTCTGTCAAGTTATGGTCATTGCTTGTATACATAAAGACAGATGCCCCATGTAGAAATTCTCATGGCAGCCAGTTGTCCCTTAGATATGCGTGCACATGTATGTACACACTACCCCCATGGCTGGCAGAAAATACGATAAACCTACGCACATGTGCATTTGCATGTACCATAACATATGGATCACAGTACACAGTATGTAGATGATACAGTAATGCTAATTAGACATACAAATTATAATGACAAGGCAGAGGGCACATACACACCTCCTTCACATTGATTAGGTTTTGTGTATGCCACAGTATGGCAAACAAGATATATATAGCCTTACTACACATGCGGATTTAACCACGAGGTTTCTTTTCTGGGTATTAGTGCAGAATTACATGTAAAACACGACCGTGGTTGACACCAACATTCACAGCTTTCATATCAGTGTCAGTGTTTTCAAGTGACAAACGGACACTGTGCCCAGTACAATAAGTTATTGCTTTATATGAAGTCCATTTTGGAAAGAATACAACCCGCCAAGGCATCGTTAAGTACGTGTATTTTCACTGGATAGGTTTTCAATACCGCGTCTTTTGAATTGGGAATTTGAACAATATTTTTGTGCCTAATATTGGTCAAGAAATTTGTGTTGCATCAGAAATTGAAATGAGGGATATAATTTCAAGCGTCAGTGCGGCATGTGATTCTCTGAATAGATGCGCATTGACCTCATTGCACCCATAGACACGCGGATGTACACATACATGTACGTACGTACTCTTATACACTCTTTCTAAATAGGAGATAGCTATTAAAAGTCAAGGGTCGTTTGAATGCCAGTCACAAACATATGTTCCCTTGCTTCTTATTGGAAGTGGACAAGTAGGGTGTGGAGAGAATGCTAAGCCATTGTTAAGCTCTCAGAACAACAGTCAACAAGGTGTTGATCTGTTTCTGATGTCACTCCCACTTACATATGTAGGCTGAAGCTTGAATAGGAATACAAAAAAACTTGTTATTCGTGGTGTGAAAGGTCAAGTCAAGGCAGAGGAAAGTTTACATGTTTCACAAGTGTCTTGTGTGGACGGTTTTCAGTGACATTTAGGCCAGTTGGGAGAGCACTTTGGTCACATTTGAAAATGACCAATTCAGAAATATCAGATGTAGATTTGTGGAAGCCAATAGTTGTTTTTTTGTCCTTGATGAGAGGGAGGTAATGAAGTTTAATACAAGTCCACCTCCAGTGATCTTTGCAGAGAGTATTGTGTTAAATTAAGCATGGTTAGGGCTTGAAAGTACATGTATTCTAAACTGACACAAACTAATATGTAACAAATTGGCATGTGCTTAGTTAACCAAACAAAAACATGCATACAAATTAGCTGTTACTTGTTTTTTGGATGGTGTTGGGCTTTCAAATGTTACCCACACATACCAGGTACATGGCGCATCATTAATATGTTCACGCTTCTTGTCTGATGGGGCACCTACATGTACTTGATGTTTTTGTCATTGTCAAGATGCGTGAGCAGTGAGGCATATTCAACCTCCTACCAGCAGAACCAGTATGCAAATGCATGCACTTTACTGTCAGTCGGCATGGGCTGTAGTCCCCTTAATTATCATTACATGTCCCCCCAAGCTGGCTGCTTTGCTGGTAGAAAAGCCTTCTTATCGTCAGAGGGACTAACACGTACACTGCTTGTGTAGCAAATGTATGAGTTGACATTGCCTCAAGGATTTATGAACATCCATCCTTGTTTTTAATAAAAAATGGAATGCACTCAAGGTGTCTTCGCATTATACATGTACTTTTGCCGTTCTGCCTGGTATGGCTGTAGATACCTGGCAGTGGCTGCCACCTCAGTTTCAATATTTCATGGCTTGTGTTTGTTGCAACTGACATTGGCTAACGGGAAACCTGAAGGGGGGAATGTAAATGTGCATAGATATATATGGTGAATATACACTGAACCTGTATAAGTTATTTATATCAAATACAGACCTTTATGTGAAATCCCAGAATAGGTGCACGTACAGATCTCTGTGGTAGTGATTGATCTGGAAGTCAGGTTGTTTTAAAAATACATCAGACAAGATATTTTTTGACATTGACATATACATGTACATATTTTATACATGTAAAAGTCCACCTCATCTTCTACACAAATACAGCACATCATGGTGAATTCTACATGAAATTTTCACACTTTGAATGTTTTTTTTTAAATTTCTCTTGGCCATTCACCCATGAACCCTGCATTAACCATTACCTTGACTCTTGCCAATCCAGGGATAGCTATTGTACATGTGTACGTGTACATGTACTAAAAAGCATTTGATCAAAATGCTTCCCCATTATACGGTAGTTTTATTTCACTGAATAATTTCCCATGCGCCCTGGAAATCCCATGGAAATTGTATGCACATTGTGCATATATGAAAGTGAATTGTAGACATCTTCATCTACATGTACATGTACCTTAAATGTAAAAATGTAATTATTTTGTGTTATTTGCTCCCTACGTCAACATTATTTTCTGTACATGTTGTAGGCCGTTTTACTGTTTCTGCATTATATAAGGATACATGTATATGTACATGTACACTCCCTGTACATCTACCAGTGTGTCACGAATGAAGTACCCGCAGTAGAACATGTACACGTTTGGTATACCGTATATGTACATGTACTGTACCGAGGTACATGTACATGTACATGCCATGTGAAATTGTGCATCTACATGTATACTCCATGTCAATCTCTGTTTTTACTTATCCCAACTCAGACGAATGTACCGGTAGATGCATGTTGATGTGAAGATGTGGATTTTTATTTAGAAACTGTATAGTGGTTATGTATGTACATGTATTTCTATGCTGACTTTTTCAATGGTTTGTATAGACAGTTGTGAAGGTTACAAACATTAGAATGATTTCAGGTTATTTTAAGCCTGTATTTGAGATGAGACCTATGTTGGTCAGGACAGCGTTAGATGAATTCAGCCGTGAATTCTGTTTAATGAGAAAGGCACTTCTTTTGCGGGAAAACAACAAAATTTTAACTTTTTGAAAACAATTTGATTTAATTTTGAGTGCTCAGTTGTTCACTATGCCTGTATTTTGAGATAAATCAAACATTGTTTGTGACCTTGCACTTTTTGTTGGAAAAACCAGAGGTGAAACCATGCAAGAAAGTGAAATTATACAAAAACATCTATTCCCCCTGGATGATGACCAGAGCAGATTGACTCCGTGAGCTGGCAATAAACCAGAAATCCTAAATGGCCACAAGCAACAGGCGTAGATCCGGGGGAGGGGGTTGCAAAAAAAACCTGCTCTGAAACCAAAAAAGGGTTAAAATATTGGGGGGAAATAGAAACTAACTAAAGTCAATTCAAAAACATGTAGCATTCCATAGATGTAATGTTTCATCATCATCTCCACTTGTAAGCAAAGAGGAGACATTAAAAAATTCTGGCCTGACTCTCCACTGCAAATACTCCTGAATCCGCCCCTGAACCAATTATGTTTCTCTGTGCTATGTGTCACTAACTCATCATTATTTTGGATTCATTAATCCAACATTTGAAACGCTTTCCAAAAAAATTAACCCCAAGGTCTTAAAGGGGTTTAATCATCGTCACAGGATTGTACAAGTATCCATTTTATCATTGTAGTCAAGAAATAAATATTGAAAGGCAATCCCTGTTGTATAGAACGGGTCAAAGATATATATACCGGTAAACATATTGAATGTTGCTGGATTAAAATGAAAGTGTTTGCAGAATATGGGGTCTTGAAAAAGTTTGATAAAGAACCTTTTCTCAAATGTATTTTTTACATGAAGTTGAGTTTTGACTTCAATTTACATAGTTGTACTTGTAATTTTTCCTGAAATTACATACTGTAGCATTGCTTGCGAACCTACATTCAGTTTGTTTCTAAAGATGTACAGGTAACAAATAAGTAATGAAAACAATAAGGTCTCAGAAAACTTTTTGGTCTCATTTTCAGAATTCCTACTGCACCATGGGTAATTCCAGAAATTAGGGGTCCATTTTTTTCTGTGTCCCTGTCACATCTGACATGATTTTGTAAGTCTAGAACACATTTGCTAATGTCTAAGAGTGATGAATTAATGCAAATTACCTGCCAAATAGTACTAGTTGAAATCAATTTCGGTGATATTTCCATGTCAAATAACAAAGGTCAGATGTAACAGGGACATGACAATGTCAGACTTTTAGACCCTACTTTCTGGAATTACCCATATGTTGAAGCGTAGAATCAGTTTTGGCTTCTAAAGTGTCTGTCATAGACTGATACCAGACTATCCCCTACATGTATAGCATTGTGGCCTTGTGAGTGACTGAAAATAAGTCAGAGGATATTACATAGATGTGCTGTGCTGTGCTGACTTTTTTTTTCATTAGCAGTGACTGGGTTCTGTTTGTTGTGTACAATAAGGTCCAGCCGGATGTCGAAGATTTGGATAACGGTGCTGAGGAAGATGGCGACACTGATTCAGTCAAGTCAGAGGTCAAACTGGGGAAGCTACAGTTCTCCCTGGACTACGACTTCCAAGAAGGAAAGGTGAGGGCAGAAAGGCCGCCATGCATTCCTGGAGCCCATCCCTCATGTTTTGATATCCTTAACTTTACCCAGTGATTTCAAGTTACCGGTAAATCATGCAGTGGTATATTCACGCCACATTCTTCATACAATGTAAATGCTTCATGAAAGAGACCTCTCTAACCCAGTGCTCAGTTGCAGCAAAAATAGCCTTTTCCCTGTTGTTCATAATGTAGTCCATGTAGCAATAATTTACACCTGTACATGTACGTACAGTGCAGTGTACCGCTAAGCATTTGCCTTGAACATGTCACCCTTTAGATTCATTACTGTTGACATTTTAGAAGAGATTTGAAGCTTTGCAAGGTGAAGGTGGCAAGTTACTGTAAGTGATAGGTTTACGTAAGCACCTTACAAAGATTTTTCTTTAGTGAGTATGTGTGGTTCTGAAAGAACCAGATGGTACTCCTGGTTTGTTTGTTTTTTTTTTTTTGTTATTTGGTTTGTGGTATTACACAAGCACCGATCCTTTGGAAAACCCTTTTGATGTTTGTTACCAAAAACTCCCCCTTACTTTTGAAGAATCAAAAGGTAAAATCTGCCTAGTCTGTGTTTTAAAAAAAAAATGAATGGATGTTCATTTTTTACCAGAATGTGCTGTGATGAAAATGAGTTCTCCACGGTAATTTCTTCAGCGCTGAATGATTTTGTCAAGGTTGCATCAACCTTTTGTTATGAGAGGATGAAGAGAGCCAAGAAAGCGTCTTTCTAAATCTTGCCAAACTGAAGGCCTGTCTTGAAGTTTGTGGATTTCACACTTGTCTTCAACAGTTTCCAGCTGTTTAACACTTGTTACCTCTCTTGTCATCTCTGAAGCTCAATGTAACTGTTGCCCAAGCTGCCGATCTGCCTGGTATGGACTTCTCAGGTACGTCCGACCCCTACGTCAAAGTGTATCTTCTACCGGACAAGAAGAAGAAGTATGAGACTAAGGTCCATCGGAAGACGCTCAACCCCGTGTTCAACGAGACCTTCACATTCAAGGTTTGCTACTTTAAGTTAGAAAAAGAAAAATCATGAACTTGGATCAGACACAAGTCAACTTGTACAGAGTAGCCCCACAAGTACATTTATTTTTCAGTTACTGATTCAGTCAATCAATGTCTGGATCATTTGGTTACATTGTTCTGTTTCATTAATCGGACACCAATTTGTGAAAATACGGGCTCGTTTGAGAAGACATCAGAGAAAGATTGGAATCTTCTTGAACTAAAAATCAATCTCAAATATTTTCATGTGTGAAACTTTTCCCCCACAGAGATGCTAACTTGTACGATTTTGGCATAATTTTTACGATTTGTTCAGTCCGTTTTACGACTGTATAATCCAGACCAAGATTTATACGATTTCCAACTCGAAGGTACAAAATGATACGGTTGTGTATAAACTCTACGTACGTAAGCCAGCACGGAGCCGGCCTCATAATGGGCATCAGAAATGTGTCACTGGCATCCCGCAGTTTGTACGTACAAGCTGTGTGAGGAGCTGTAGAAACCAGTATGGTTGAATCATCCGTCACCCCAATTAACGCTGTGATGAACGGGGGTGAATAGGCACGATTGCACTTCATGTGCAAAATGTGATTGCGTTGTACTGTACCGATATCGTACACGTGCTTGTCGAACATCAGGATCGTGTAAAAAGTTGAAGGGAGTGGAGGACTGTGATTTTTGATATTTGGTGAGCAACTGGACTTGTTTTGCACAATGGCAACAAGTGAGCTGAAGTTCAGGGGTGAATACACCACAAAAATGGGCCTTTATTGCAAAGTCTTGTCGTGGAGAAGCTTACGTGTTTGCAACGTACATGTATGTAACTGTGACATGATAGATATTGCACCAAGAAAAACCTGGCCCGTGTCCACCATTACAGGGCTTTCCAAATGTACTGGTACACTGATTGCAGGCACAGATTTATTTATCAAATCTGAATAGTCTGTGCCCTGGTGCTCTTAAATCTCTGACATTTTGTTATGGTCATCTTGGCTCATTTTTTAAAAGAATTCTTTTTCAGTGTCAAACAATTAGCAAGATTATTGTACAGACCATGCAAACAGATTTGAAATGTTTCTCGTGGCCTCGATAATTCATAAATCTTGTATGTCAGCCTGACCTCCTCCCTTTTTTCTTAACTTGCAGGTCCCATACAGCGAGATCGCCAGCAAAACGCTGGTATTCGCTATCTTTGACTTTGACCGCTTCTCCCGACACGACCAGATTGGTGAGGTCAAGGTCAAGCTCAGCCAGGTTGACCTGGGAAGCGTGGTGGAGGAGTGGAGGGACCTGCAGAGCGCTGAAGTGCCTGGGGGAGAGGTGGGGACTCTCTTGCAATTCTTCATTTCATCCGGTCCTTGTCTCAGTGATTTGGACAAGTTCTTCGCTAGTACTTTTACTCCTTGTGGCAAAAACCTTTTCCAAGTTCTGTCACATCACAGACATCACAAGACCAGTCATTAGACCTGTCTCAAGTAACGCGGCGAACAGTCAAGAGGAGAATGCTTTTGCTGCAGTTCATTTGAAAACCTTGTGACTTGAATTTAGGCTGGAAGTCTTGTGTTTAGCTTGTGGTGGTCTTATTTGGTCTTTTGGCAGTCTTGAGAGATCTTGACTACAACACTGCTATGAACAATGGGCACATACTAACAAAGGGGTGTCTGTGTTACTCATTGTGAGTAGCTTGTGGCTTAAATCAAGACTTTGATACTCGGAATTTGCACTTGTGAAGTAATACCACATTCTCTTCTTCCCACTCTGTTAGGCTTAATTTAGAAATTCACCAACCTGTGCCGAAGTACACAGACACAAAATGGATAGGGTCACTTGCGGAATTATCTCTCTTGGACTATCCCATCTGATGGTCTGAGGTAGATTGATTTGGGTGTAACTGGAACTCTCTGAAATCCAGCTTCACCCTTTTAGTCCTAATACAAGTGTTCTTGCCATGAACTTGGCTAAATTTTTCAAATCTCTGACTGTACAGAAGCCAAATGCGTACTCTTTGTATTTCGGTTTCAAGGGCCATCAAGCTCTATGTAATTTAATAGTAGCTGGGCTTTACCTAGACTTCTGATACCTTCCTTAACCACTTGCCACCGGGGTTGCCTGTACTGGAACTGTATTCTTTAAACGTGTGGCCGTGGTCTCCGAAATCGGACAAAGGGAGCTGGGCCTTGTAATAAAAGACTGTACTCGTAACAAAAGACCAGGCTGCTGGGCATTACCAACATTTTTTCACTGTCAATAGTGGAGATAATCCAGCCTTGTTTTGAAACAGTATACCACGGTTTTGGGGATTTAGCGCGAGCAGATTATCACCTCAAAATCCTTTGAAACCTTCCAGTGCATTCTGAAGTATCAGAAAGTGTTAAAAATAAAAATGCAGATACACTGGGATTAGATGCCAGGTAATCTACTTTTGTCTGTGCTACACGCTTTGCTTGACTGAGTCGTTCACTCATGACGGCATTTTCCCCCTGCAGGGTAAGTCGGAGCTTGGTGACATTTGCTTCTCGCTACGCTACGTGCCGACTGCAGGCAAGCTGACCGTGGTGATCCTGGAGGCCAAGAATCTCAAGAAGATGGACGTGGGCGGTCTCTCAGGTGGGTGGGAACATCATGGAATAACCAAGATGAGGCTGCAGCCAGACTTGGATTCATGCCAAGTCCTGGTATGCGGCAATGTAAAAAACATCCAGTGCCTTGTTGTCAGTGTTCTTTACATTTTGGATATTGTAACAAGTACATTGTAAATTTGTAATGACGGTGAAAACTTGCACAATAACCAACAAAAATTGCACCTTGCACATATACATGATCCAATCCAGTACCATGCAAAAGTATAAAAGTGGATAAAATTTAATAATGAATGAATCACATCTAACTGTAAGCATTGTACATAAACCTATTTCCTGAAAATGCACTGCCTAACTCCCGTGCTTGTCTTCTGTGTAGGGTAACTGCCATAGTTCCACTGACCTGTTCATTTCTGGGCTTATTTCTCTCTCCTGTCAGATCCCTACGTCAAGATCTCGCTGTACATGAACAACAAGAGAATGAAGAAAAAGAAGACGACAATCAAGAAGAGGACACTCAACCCATACTACAATGAGTCCTTTGGGTTTGAGGTTCCATTTGAGCAGATCCAGGTACGTACAGTAACACTCGGTTCTCTCCTGAAAATCAGCCCGTTTCATAAAACTTGGCCTGACTAGCCACACGTAAGTTTTGTGCCACAGATTTGTTGCATTGTAGGACAGTGTTCTCACAAGGGATTTCACCAAAAAATGCTTAGCTGAAGCAGTGTTTAATAACATTAAACATCTTGGACAAGAGTTATCATGGCTTTTACAAAGGCGCTTCCTTTCCAGTGCAGTCGACTGTCATTATAAACGAAATTCCGGTTATAACAAACACACATCATTGGTCCCAGCGAAAAAAGGTCACATTCCTATAGGGGGAAAATCTGTTACAGCGAAATCGCATTGTATGAAATTCCTGTTCCAACAAAAAGGTTTTCGTGACTCTGTTGCCTGAAAAACCATTGTTGACGACCCATTTATAACGAGGGTTTGCAAATCACGGTGGTGAAAGCATGTGTGCAGTGCACCACTTTGGCCCTTGCTGGGTCAAACCGTTGCCAAAAAAGGCATGATGGAAATGCGGCAACCAGTCAATGTACGATTCCTACCAAAAAAGGTTGTACGTTCCACTACATCATACAAGGATGCAGCTGTACAATTGCAAGTTCAAAAAATTGCTGTCACAAATTTTCTGATCGTAAGTCTGTGTTTGTATTTTCTGTGTGCATGAATTTAATTTGAGGTTGTACTGCTTATACTCGAAGCGAGCGTGTTTCCACAAAATTTCCAGCTGCAGCAGGAAGCTTATTGCCTGCCCCCTCCAGATGCGTCACCGACGCTTTCAACACGATTTACAGACATTGTTCGCCAGTTTCCCGTTGTCATAATAAGCGTAGGGCATGATTCAAAAATCAATGATTTGTACACTGATTACACAAGCGCCAAAACAAACATTCCCTTCCCAATTCTGATGAAAACATGCCCCAAATAAATTTGCTTGACTACTCTCACATGTCAAGAGCCCTACTAGTCACCCAACACTGAATCATATTGCTGCAAAAAGATCTAGCGTACCCGCCAATGAGACTGTGTGTTTACATGATATACATTTTGCAAGACACAGCTATCCAATCATAATATTCCTTCATGACATCATGCTTCTTCAGCGACCATCTCGCGTGTGGGTGGGTGGCTGCACCGCAGTGGGCGAGTGAACTTGGATTATCAATCCATCGTGGTCATGCAGCTAGTGTCGAAAATCAAAAGTCAGATGGAAAATTACATAAAAATGTCTCACCATGACACACTTTGTGTTGGAAAGACTACTTACATGGATGGGGGCTTCAGTTGATGAGCCTTCACAGTCTTGCAGGTACATCCAGGCCTACATGTGCATGCAGGTTAATTACTGTTGGATTCATTGTCATCCATGGCGATGGAAAGTCTTTTCAAAATGCCTGGATCGATTAGATGCTTTGACCTGAATTTGCTTTTTATCTCACTTGCACATTAAACATGTCGTATGACAGTGAAGTTTATGTTTCTAAACACATCACAATATATTTGATTAATCATAACCGAGAGTTCTTTTGGATATCATCAACATCAACCACTTTCACGTGAATGCATGTACAGTACATTGTACATGGCATTGTACACAATTGGACCTATTCATGCGGTGCACCAAAGCCATTACACTGCGTTTCACCTACAATGAATTTTGGATGCAACAAACGTTTCTACTGGTCCCGGGGATTTTGTAATAATGAGAATCGACTGTATTACCCTACATTCGTCAAACAGTCATTAAATTAGCTCCGCCAACAATTTTGAAAATTACCTGCAAAAAGCAAAGTTGAAACTTTCTTGTGTGAGGCTTGTTGAGTGGGGCAATGATGAGCTTTAACCAGAAAGCAATTTTGAATAGTTCATTTCCAATTTGTTCCGTACAATTTATTTCACCCAAAAGTGGTTACGTATTTATACATAAGTCATTTAAATTACATGTATGCCATAATTTGCTGTACAAAGTCACATATTTAAGCAGTGTGTGACTTTAGTGAAATGCGTCACAATTTGTTGCACGACTTTTGCAATAAAATTGTTCTTATTGAACTTACACCATTGCAAAAGTCCTGTGTAATCAGCTGCTGCTATTTGAACTGTGCAGACATGTACGTGCATGTTAAGATTGGCCAACCTTCAGCTTTGGGATACACGCAGGTGATAAATGTTTCGTGTGCATTCGACTTCAAGATAACTGTACACAAATTTGCAGTGTGTCAATTATTGCGCATTCAGTGCAATCAGAGAGAAGAAAATAGATACGCCATCAGCCTAAGTCAGAGCATTATCCCCAGCCCTTGAGTTTGTGAACAATTATATTGAAATAAGAGGATTGGGGACTTTTCAAGATTTAAAAAATGATGAATAGAATTTTCATGCGTGTTCTACTTGACGCAGAAGATTTTTTGGACAATCTGGCACAGTGTACGTGCATGTTATTGTGGTTTAACATGTTTACAGCAGATTGCCTATTATCCAAAATTGACATTATTGACTCTGGAGTTGAGCATGCCCAGTTGGAATACCAACATTGCTTATTTTTAAGGACTTATTTTTCAAGCGAAGGTTGGCGATTTAGAATTTTTTGGCACCCACAATTGACATGAGAAATTGTGATGTTACATCTGCCATTTGTGTTAACACTTTACATGAGATGCATGCTATTTTTGCACCAACAGACTTTTTTACGGTTCGTTTTTCTTTTTGTTTTCCAATCTGCAGAAAGTTACACTGGTCGTCACTGTGGTGGACTACGATCGCATGGGAAGCAGCGAGCCAATTGGTAAAGTGGTCCTTGGGTGTAATGCTACAGGTGCTGGGCTGCGCCACTGGAGTGACATGCTAGCGTCCCCACGACGACCCATCGCGCAGTGGCACACACTGCAGGACATGGATGAAGGAAAGTAAAACAAAAACCACGAGCCCAACTGTAATCAAACACTAAAGTATTACAAGGAAGCCATTACAGATAGCTAGCACTGAAACATTAGCTTGCTACATCTAGCTGCATGATTGTCGAGTGTTTCATCCGGTTTCAGTGCTAGGTAGGATCTGTGGAATTGTCTTGGTTGTTTGAATATCCAAAAAAATTGTTCATTGATTCAGTCACCGGAAACAGAGTTGATAAAAAAACTCACTTCAGGAAAAGAATTGAATGTCTGAAACTCAACCTGTTCTACTGAGGGGTACTGGAGAATTGTGGGTACCACGTCAAACTGCACAGTGTCCGATGTATCATCGACATGTTGGGCTTGGTCAGCTACCCTTTTGCAGTGAGAGTTGTGGCATTGCGCTACATCTTTGTCTTGCATGCATTCCATTGTACCATTGTTGTGACCAGTGTCACAACCCACGGTAGTGCAGTGCTCGCTCGGAGAAGGGGCCACAGATTACAGAATCCATCTTGCTTCGTTCCCAAAACCAATCTCTGATTGTGGGCCTGGAACATTGGATTACTGTGATTTTTGGCTTTCTTGCATCTTATTTGATGTTCCGTGGCATTATTAGACTGATTACTGTGCTTACAGCTTCAAAGTCAGCTAGTGAAAAAACAGTTGAAGCCTGAGACGGAGCAGAAGTTGAGTATTGGAAAATGGCCTAAAAATCACTTGCTTCCACCGTCAGCTGTTTGCCCCAGCTAGTGAGGCAGTGGACTGTACTGCCGGGGGGGGTACGTTCACCAATCTACTCTTTCCAGACTTAAGCAACATGCATGAACTTCACATCGGGTTACTCTTGCTGTACAAAAAATGCTCCGTGCACACTGAACTCATACTTCATGCAATCTCAGACAATTCCTCAAATTTATGTTTCCTTGGCAACATCGTATTCCAAAGTAATAATAAAATAATCTCACCACATCTGTACAAAAAAGTGATAACTATACTGAGGTACCGAGTACCCTTTGTGTTCAGCCTTTGTGGCAGTATTCCTGAAAAGTTGAGATACATCTGTTGTAGACCGTACCAAAAAAATCCTGCATGGTGTATAAGATCCTTGCTGGTTAGTAGACTAGATGTGTCTGGTGTTCGTAGATGATACAAGATCTAGTTATTTCCATTCAATGTTTGCATGGCATTCCAATCCAAGTAGGATCTTTCCATGATTCCCTGAAAGACACATTCCTCACCATCATCTAATGACGGGCTACTTTCACTTTCCAGCGGATGAAAGGGTGAACCTGCACACACGCACACACACATGTTGGTATAAGCTGCCTTGTGTGGACATTCTTTTGCTTTCATGTAGTTAGAAAAACTTGGTGAAAATACTGGTTTTTCTTGAACTGCGAACACCCTTTCGAGCTGGATTTCTGATGACGATTTCCTTGACTGTTCCTCTTCATTTTGTGACAGATATCCCTTATTCTAAAATGCCACTAAACTTTTTTTCCCCAGAAAGGGGGGTAACCCTGTGTGGACCCCGCTTAGTCCACACAAGGTTCACATTACCCACATTATGTGGACTTCTTTTATCCACACTAGGTATGTAAGGTTTGTACACCGGGGCACCCCATACATGTACTCACTGTGTACCAATGCAATTGTAACTGTTTAGATTCAGCATATCTTGTACTTAAAGGTAAGATTCGCCACTGTAAAACCCACGTACATGTACACTTCAGATGACTTTATGTAGATATGCTTGCTGATCAGTTAGTGTGCTGTTGAATATTGTTAACGTCAGATTACATTATATTTTTGTGTACATGCGCATTTATGTTTTTAGTTGTATATTCAAGGCTGTGCTCAGAATCAGAAATCTCGGTTAGGGCTGGAAATAGCATGAGTGATTAGTGGCTATGGCTTCTGTGCCACAGACATGTGTGCTACTGCCAGCCACAGCCAGTTGATTCGGACACAGTCATAGGCTGCTTTAGCTTTTTCAGTGAGGCAGGAGACTGCAATATTCAGCTCATCAGGGTAGATTACGTGATCAAGTTACATGTACAACCTCCATGTAGTTCAACAGGACTGGATTACAATTAATCCCAAACAAAAATTACTGATAGAATTTACCAAAGACTGGTGAAGATGTAATCCATTGTACTAACAGGATAATGATGGGGATATGTTACTGTACTATTCAGTTCAAGGCCTAAAGGCATGTCATGGAGTATTTTAATTTGAAGATGTACTTTGCATTGGGGAGATGTTAATTTTAATTACAGGATTTGCAACCCAATGTGTATATCTATAAACATTGTATATAGTACTGAGTATACACTGTTATATATGTCGGGTAAGGGCATAACCTGTAATTAAAATTATTTCAATTTGCAAAGCAAACTTAAAATTGTGGATTCTTAGCTCAATGGGTCATAATTTTAACATGGATAGAGGGAGTTACAGTGTATTAACGTGAGCAATAACAGCAGTTCATGAAGTCGAGGTGAGACTAGTCCATGACTCTGTCAGGTAGCTTCCTGAAAAACTCTAAGCATGTGCACACGTTCAAGTACATGTACTTTGCAAGTGAAATGCTTGCAATCATTGAATATACATGTACCATGGGACATATGTGTACCATAGAGCTAACAACCAGGTGTTTCTATTCCTGGAACATCCGTTATCAGTGCGGGGAGAGGTACTAGCATTGTCACCACCCAGTACTATCAAGCTTGCCATGATTATGCTTGAAAGTTTCTATGGACCCTTGTCAAGTTATAGAGGCAGAAACATCTCACTTGCTGGCAAGCTAACAGGTGAGCAGAAAGCAGTCTTGAGTCAAGACTAAGGCAGCAAGGCTGCTTGTGGGTGGAGAGGACACAAGTTGCTAGACTTTGACAGAAACTAAAAGCCACTCTGGGTATGTTTTTGTCTCTTCACACCTGCCTGGCAACGAAGGACGTTCGTTCCCACACTGCAGTTTTTGTTATCATATTTACAAGTTTCGGTAACCAGTACTAAAACAACTAGAATGAAATAACACAATGTTAAAATGAAGGTTATTTTTTGTGGGGAGAACAATTCCTAGTACATGTATTTAAAGACTGACATGAAATAATGATGTAGTTTCAAGAAGAATCAGTATGTGTGTATATGTAGCCTCTTTGTTGTGTTTGTGTTATAGTAGGAACCCAAACTTGTGCAATGTTGAATTCACTAGTTACTAGTACATGTAGTGAACTGAATAATTATTCAATTGCCGTAATGCTGCTTTTGTCAGTGTATTCAACCAAACGGAATGAAAATCAAACCGAGTACAAAGCCCAGTACCAAGAGACTGGTTCATATTTTAATGTAGAGATTCATTGACTGTAGAGATTCATGATTTAATGTAGAGATTCATGTGGAATGAGATGACCAATGTACTTCCCAAGCATAATGCCCAAACAGGACAGACCTGTACCACGACATCATGCTTTGTTTAGGTACATGTATGCGCTTCCCTATGATGGCGACAGGGTAGGATCCATCAAGCCTCCATAGGAATGCTCACATGTAAACAAAGCGTGACGTCGTGTTTGAGGTCTGTTGTTAACAGTTTTAATTGTAACTGCTAACAAGTCCCTACCTCAACAGGAGGGTGAAACTTTCTAACAGAATGTTAAAAAAAAGAGTAACAGTCCATTTTTTCCCTGTAGGACAAATACATACTACCATTAAATAAATATATTTTTGCCTACATTTGAGCGGAGGGCGTTTGGCAGAAGGTACCTGAAACTGGAAGATTTGGGACAGCTAGTTGAAGGATATGACAGGGTGCTAGGGGATTGCATGGATTCCTACTTCAGGCCATATGTCTCCGGTTGGGGAGGAGATGCTCTTGTTTTTTGCTTGTTTTACTTACTTTATGAAATGGGCAACAGTTCAGGTAGCTGAACATTCTCTGCTTAGGTGTTCTCTAAAGAGAGGAAGCGTGGACTGGTTGTACGGTGTACAGCCTTTCAACAGCATTTATTGTGATTTCTACAGTAGGACCATGATGTACTCATTCATAGCTTGTGTGTATTATTTATTGCACTGTGTCACTGGCAGCAGGCTACATGCTACAAAGATACATGCACATATCAAATACAGTTGACTTAGATCAAGTTCTTTCAGATGTTTTTAACCGTTTTTATCATTAATGGCACCAAATTGCACTAGCAACAAAAGGCAGTGAAATGTCCAAGTTTAACTTATTAACATTGCCAATTTATTTATTACCACTGTATGGAATATTTAGTGGCCTGTACATAATTGTTACATGTGAATACTATAAGAGTTGTGACTATATAACTTAGAAGTACTACGTACTGCAGATATGGAAGCTTTTAAGGGATGTGTTCTTCAAAGCATGTTTGTACCGTGGCTGACTGCAGTCTTTGAAACCAACATAGTTTCACAAGGTTGAAACATTTTCTGTGGAATCTATTCTACTGATTTTCCCAAAGTCATCACATATACGTATCTTTGATCGTTTCAAACATGCTGGCATAAAAAGATGTTTCATTGCTGAGCCTTGCCGTGTTGGATTTGAAAAACATTGATTTTTATTCCATAAAGTGGTGATTTCCACGTCCAAGTCGTAAAGTTGATTTTTCATGCATTACAAGGAGGACTGATATCCGCCGTGGGATGAGTCTGGTACCCCGTGGTTTACCATGGGATTTGTGACTTATCTTTGTCACTGTGAAGCATGCATCTGCAGTGTTTTTGTATTCTGCATGTCAGCCCCATGGTGAAATAGTGTTTTCTTGCTGTGACATTGCTTGATGTTAAAAAGTTATTGTTATATTAGTGATACATGTATTAACTACATCCAGTATGAATGTGTATGGTCAAATTGCTTTTGTCATTTCAAACGGCACCCAAGGCCAAGTTTGATCAGTGGCAATTTGGCAGCTCACTGATAGATTTATGCCTTCATATCTGGAACATATCTCATGCATAGGTTATCAGGCAAAACCAGCAGAGTTTGACATATAGCCACTGGTCAAAGTTACGCAAGTTTCAGAAATTTTAGTCCAGTACATCACTTGAAGTGTATTCTTCTTTTACTGTATTCTTGTTTTTACAACCCATTCCTTGTGGAATATTTTAAAAGGTGAAAAGAATGAACAGTTACCGAGCGAAAGTGACAGAGATTGAATTACATGTATTCAGAAATTCAGTACTTTAATCTCGCTCAAGATTGAACTCTGGGGTATTCACACTTGCAGTTAGACAGTTGGGAATTAGCTATCACTTTTTCTTTTTTTAGGAGAGAGGTTGAATCTTTTAGGACTTGAAATTCACCCATTTATAGTCCTGTTCCTTACACGGCATTTTCCAGTTGTCCTGTCCATTTAAGTCAGCATTTAAATAAGTATGGTAGCTCTGACGTAAAATAAGAAACCAATGACTATGAAATAACGGTACTTCCTCCCAAATTGTCTATACTTTGTGATCAGTTAATTGCATGTTGTTCCCAGTAGGTGTAAATTGTATGTATATAGCTGGTAATAAAATACATACGAAATTAAAAGAATATGGATTTTGTCACGTCCAGTTGTTA